CCATCCAAAGCTCAGCGGTTGGTCTCTGCTTGCTTAGAACAGCAGAGGAAGGAGATGCAGAGAGGATGAGTATGGGCTATGTGGCCAGTCCCCGTATGAACAACCACCTCCTTTGCCGTGAAGCTAGAGAACTAGATGGTGCCTGTGCCTGGCTACCATTACTAAATATTTTAATCAGAAATTGTGTAGAAGAATCTTGATTGTAAAGGGTGAAATGCAGAATAGAATTTCAGATTCTCGTGGACTTCTGACTTCCTGGAGCCGTGAACTCTGGATGAACCCCTGACACTTGTTTTCTAAGATCATCTTTAAATCTCAGATTAAAAATATACCTTGAAATCTTCTTAAAACCAAACACTAATTTCACTTAATGAGTAAAGTGTCCACCTGGAGTTTCATACTAATATAGTAAGATCTATCCATATGTGGTCAAACTGGCAACAGCAGTTTGAAAGTTTAGTAGATATCCTGAGGAGGCCATGAATTTATGGTACTGGAGAGGAGTGATTTAGAAAACAGAGGATGAAAATGGTTCTGTGATTGGAGGAATGCAATCAGTGTCACTGTACTTGGAGAAAGTGTTGAATTGGTCACAATTGTCTTGCTATGTATATTTTCATCAACAGCAGTAGAAAGAAATCATATTTTAAAATACACTGTATTTCTCTAGAAATAATCTTCCTGATGACATTGAACTGTGTCTATTGTAATTTTAGGAACCACACCATGAGTATTTCCCTGACATTTGGGAAGAAAAAGCAAGTGAGTTTCAAAGGATGCTTATCATTCGTTGCTTGAGGCCAGACAAGGTAAATGTAGGCTTTGAAAGCAGCTCAGTGATTTCTGTCTCTCTTCTCTCCACAGTTCAGCTGAAGTTAGATTTCCTTATTCTATAATGAGGGAGGTGGGGGAGCCTGGGGAAAGGACCCCACTTCCTTCTAATGCTGCCTTTTCCCAGAAAGTTTGTGTATATATTAAAGCCATACTGAATTGGACACTAAACAACAAATAACGGAAATCACTTCACCTAAAATTATTGACTATTATTTCCCAGAAATATTCACATAACAGTAGAAAAGTGTAGACAGATATCTGTTGGTGGGGGGGGAAGTGGGAATGAGAAATATCCTAATTATTTATCATTACTATTTAAATAAAGATTGTTCATAATTATTTCAAAACTTATTATATTCATGCTTAGAGTAGTTAAGGATTTATAAGACAATGCTTCATCTTTGAAGGGGGAAAAGTAGAACATTGATAGAGAAAGCATTATTTTATTTTAATTTGTAACTTAAGTCACTGATTATATTAAGTCAAGCCATACTTTTCTTTCAGTGAATGCTTGTGATTCTTTCTTGACCTGGCAGTATATTCTGAGCCAGGAATGACCACAGTGTGTACTGTGTCTACTTGTGCTACTGTGGTAGGAAAAGAACTTCCTATCTTTTCTAGCTTTAAGTCATGAATGTAATTTGTATATCTATCACAAAAATTATTCGTTGGTTCATTTCTAAGCTACAGTATGTTTTGTTAGCAGATATTTTTTTTGTCCCTCTCTTTTTTCATTCTTCCTTCAAAATTAATCTCACCCCATAGTAAGAATTTACATATGCTAGCCTTCCTACTACTTTGGTTTGGGAAAACGTAAAAAATGTTCATGAAACCATTAGTAGGAAGACCAAGTGAGTTTGTACTTCTTTAAGTACTTGTCAATGTGTAGTTTAATTGACTAAGGAAGTATATCAAATAGATAAATACTGAGGATTGTTTTGAATACAGCAACAAAATGAAGGAATTCTGGCCACATTGTATTCTTTTGAACTTTAAACAAAAGCAACTTCTTAAGAAATTTGTCAAATCAAAATATATGTTCCTCTGGCCTCAGATAAATTCTGCAGGAACTTGCCAAACATAAGGAAACATAATAGAAAACCAGAGACTCCTTTCCTGCTTTCAGAAAGATGTTTGCCTCAATACTTCTATAATGCGTGTTACTGAGAGATTTCATTTTACAAACTGAAGCTTTGGAAGCATAATCATACAACAGTGACAAGTCTTACTCTGCTTCTTTGCAAACAGAGTAAGTGCACTTCATTTGCCTCAAGAGTTATAATTCAGTCTTGGAGACAAGCAAGTTTCAATAAATTTTAACACTAAAAGTGAAATGCAGAAATTTGCCTTTGCCCTTCTTCAGGTGAACATCTCTAATTTGATCCTTTGGTGCTAACAAATGGAAATCCTGTCACCACGTCAACCATGTTGTATGTGGACAGGGGTTAACCCCTGCTTGAACCACTCACAGAGAGGCCAATTGTAACTCCAAGTTACTGGAAAGGTGCAGTTGAAATTGTATGTGTTTGTATTATGTTTATAAAACTACACTTTGGGAAAAGTCTCGTGGAAAGAAAAGGTTTACTGACAAAAGGCTTTTCACTTTTGTTTTTGTTTTAATCTGATAGGGAAAGGCCAGCTATGAGAAAACATCCTGAGAGTAGAAGAAACCCCTTAGGCTGTTTTTCCCCTCCAAGTAGTGGACTGACTCAGTGGCAGGGTAATGGGAGCAGGTGTGTCAGAGACAATAAGGTGGACTCAGAACAGAGCAGGATTCAGAGCTGTTGTTCTTAGGGTTGTAGTGAGTCTCAGGTGACTTGATGGCACATAACAACAATAGTAAGGATCTTGATCTCTGTGCAAATTCAAAATATCTGAACGTAGATTTCGCCTGATGGAATGCGTAGGAATCAAATCAGTTACTTCTGTGGGAAGAATCGTTGGAGAGGCTCAATATCGACTGTGAAAACTAGGCCAGGTGCTGATTGTGGAACAGACCACCAACTACTTATATGCAAATTCAGGCTGAAGTTGAAGAAAATTAAATCCACAGGAACCAAAATTTGACCATTAAGTTTATGCTGCTTGAAATTCAAAACCATCTCAGGAATATGCTTGAGGCCTGAACACCAATGAGTGAAGACTGAATGAGTTGTGGGAGGATATCAATAATATCATCCATGAAGAATGCAAAAGGTCATTACATAAATGGAAATCCAAGTTTTCTGTAAACCTCCTTGTTGGTAAGTGCCGTTGAGTCATAGGCGACTCATAGCGCCTCTATGAATGAAAGACCTGGACACTTGCATAACTTTCGTCTTTTTCCCAGGTTCATAGCATTTCCAGAGGCAAGCTATTTCGGAAGTGGATGCCACTCCTGCTTCCAAGCTTGTTTTAATTGGGGAGCTCCACCAAACACTGAGTAACCATTCTTGCATTTGACACATCAGTGTCAAAGTGTTCAGCTTCACAGCAACCATGAGTTACCTCTGTGTGGCACGTGGACAACCTTCCTTAAAATGCCTATTAAAAAAATTGTTTAAAAAAAGGCAAGCACTCACCAACTCCAGGGGAGGGTTGGGGGGGAAAAAATTCATTATAAAGGCAGAGGAGGAAGAAAACAACCAAGGTGAATGTCAGATGAGACTCTGAATATTGCACAAGAGTGCCAAGAAGCCAAAGCAGAGGGAAGAAATCAAGAAATTAAGGAGCTGAACAGAAGATTTCAAAGGGCACCTTGAGGTTACAAAGCAAAGTATTATAATGAAAAGTGCAAAGAGCTGGAGTCAGAAAATTAAAAAATCAAAAGGGCCAAACTCACCATTTCTTAAGCTGAAGGAATTGAAAAACAAATTGAAGCCACGAGTTGTAATACTTAAGGATGGTTTGGGCAGAATAGTAAATGATCCAAGAAGCATTAAAAGTAGATCAAAGGAGTATACAGAGGCATTGTGCCAGAAGAAATTGGTGGACACAGAAGAATTTCATGAAACAACATATGAGCAAGAGCCTGTGGTGATGAAGGAAGAAGTTCAAGCTGCTTTGAAAGAATTGGCAAAATGTAAGGCCCCAGGAATTGATGGCATACCAATTGACAGATTTCAATGCTACCCTGGATACTCTCACTGAATTGTGCCAGGAAATCTGGAGGTCAACTCCTTGGCCAACTGACTGGAAGAGATCTATACTTGTTGCCATTGCAAAGAAAGGTGACCCGACAGAGTCTGGAAATTATCAAACAATAGCTTGAATATCACATGCAAGGAAGATTCTGCTGAAAATTATCCAAGTGACTGGAACAACACATCAACAGAGAACTTCCAGATGTGCAGGCTGGGTTTAGAAGAGGCTGTGATACCGGGGATATTATAGTTAATGTTAGATGGATTTTGACTGAAAGCAGAACCAGAGGAATGTCTGTCTATGTGTGTTTCATTGACTATGCAAAACATTTGACTGCGTGGGTCACAACAAACTATGGCTGACTCTGAGAAGAATGGAAATCCCAGAACATTTGATTGTGCTTATGTGAAATCTATGCTTGGATCAGGAGGTAGTCCTCAGAACAAAGCAAAGACACACTGCATGGTTCAGAGTTGGGAGGGGTGTATGCCAGGGATGTATCCATACCTTTTCATTCGATATGCAGAACAGATCATCGGGGAGGCTGGGATGTGTGAGGAGGAATGTGGCTTCAAGATTGGAGGTGGTATGCGGATGACACAACCTTGATTGCTGAAACTGAAGAGGACCTGAAACGCTTTCTGCAGAAGATCAAGAACTGCAGCCTTCAATGTGGATTGAAGCTTAACATCAAGTAAACAAAGATTCTCACCACTGGGCCAATTGGCAGCATCATGATGGATGGTGAAGAGATTGAGATTATTAACAGCTTTAGTTGTTTGGCTGCAAGATCAACACTCTTGGTATCAACAGGCTGGAAATCAAGAGATGAATTGCATTAGGAAATTAGCTGTTAGGGACCTCTCCAGAGTACTGAAGAGCAATGACACCAGTTTGGAGACCAAGGTGCACCTGATCCAGGCCATAGTCTTTGCAATTTTTTGTTATGCATCAAAGAGCTGGACAATGACTAGGGATGATAAAAAGAGAATTGATGCCTTTGAGCTGTGGTGCTGGAGAAGAATATTGATATCATGGACTGCCAGGAGAACAAACAGATTTGTCCTAGAGAGGGTAAAACCAGCCTGTTCCTTCAAGGCAAGGATTCTGTGGCTTTGTCTGACATACTTTGGGCATGTTGCAAAGAGGGAGTGGAGAGGGAAGGTGGGAGGGACAGAGAAATAGAGGGAGACCATTAATGAGATAGATTGATACAGTGACTAAGGTAATGAGGAAAGGTGTGTTGGAAACAGTAAAGTTGACACAGGATAGAGCAGGTTTCAGGGCTCTTGTACAGAGAGTCACTAAGAGTCGCAAGCAACTTGAAGGCAAATAACAACAACAACAACAATTAGGTGCTATCAAGTTGACTACAACTCATAGCAACCCTAAGAAGAGCAGACAAAGCATTTCCCTGTCCCACACCGTCTTGACAATCTTTGTGCTCAAGCCCATTGTAATCATTGTGTCAGTTCATCTCATTAAGCATCTTTTTCTCTTTCCCTGACCATCTTTCCAAATGTCTTTTTCCAAGGATTGACCTCTTCTGACAACATGCCAAAAGTCCATGAAACAGGTTCACCATCCTTGCCTCTAGTATGCAGTCTGGTTGCATTCCCTCCGATGCTGATTTGTTTGGGTTTTTCCCCCTGAAGTCTATAGTCTGTTAGTACTCTATGCCAACACCGTAATTCAAAGGCATTAATCATTGTTTAGTCTTCTTACTCAGTGTCTGATTTTCACATGCTTAGAAACCTGTTGAAAACATCATAGCTGAGTCAAGTGCACCTTAGTCTTTAACATCTTTGTTTCTTAATGTGCTTAAAGAGGCCCTTGGAAACAGATTTGCCCAATGCAACATGTTTCTTGATTTCTTGGTGGTTAACATGGGTGTTGATCATGGATCCAAGTAAAATGAAATCATGGACAACTTAAATCTTTTCTCTCAGTCATGATGTTGCCTATTAGTCCGGTTACAAAGATTTCTTTCCTTCATTTTGGTATTGGGGTTTAATCAAGGAAATAGCTTATCTAAAACCTAACCTTTATGTGAATGTATTGTTCTGTTATTTTTAATTTATTATTAAATTTCAATGAAAGTTCTGTTATTTTTGTTGAGCATTTTTTAAAATGAGAGCTCCATTTTCACAAAAGATATCTGATTTACTATTCACTTATTCAGTAATTATTTATTGTACACAATTATCCTGTGTGCTCATTTGCTATTTCTTACTTTGTGGAGTTTAACTATGTGTTGTTTCTGACCTATACTATTTCCGTATTTTAATGAATCCAGAGAAATATTGAGGGAAGACTTGAAAAAAGTCTAATCTAAGCCTAGATATTTCACCTACTAACTTTCAACTTCCCACCTTCAAACTCTCACCCCGCACACATTGTTATTTTTAAAGGTATTGTAACATACTAATGAATTTCCCATACTTTGTGTAAACAGAAATGCAGTTAAAATTTAGATGTATATGTCACTTCACAGAGAACAATTTTTCTAGTATTGTATCACCTGCAAATTGTTCTTGCCATTGCTCCAGTTCCAAGGATGTTGTGAGCTAGTGGAATTGTTGACCTCATGGGGACTATTGTGTATACACATAATTGCATTCATGGATATGAGCCGATATCCCTTTTAAGTTGTTCTGGGAGCCTTGAAAATATTCTGTAGCTTCTTTTCAATCCATTTCTCATCATTCTGGAATATCTCATGTTCCCTTATCTGGTTAATGTGCTTTAATAACCTCTTATCTCTGCCTATTTTAATTTTAAACATTCAAGCAGGTGTCACCATGTGTTATTTGAAAATGGACCTCTTTATTTTTAAGAACTTTAGATTAAATAAGGGACAGCAGCATTTCTTTTATTGCTTGGATTACTTGTCTGTTATTTGGATATTTCAGAGTATGAAAAATAGTTTACTTGACAGTAGAAATTGAAGGCATTTGACTGTGTGGATCATAAAAATTATTACTAACATTGAGGAGAATGGGAATCCCAGAACTCTTAATTGTCCTCATGAAAAACATATACATAGACTAAGAAGCAGTTTAAAGACAGGCTATGGCCTGTCTCCATATATATTCAATCTGTATGCTGAGTAAATTACTTGAGAAGCTGAGCAAATAATTTGAGAATTCATTCTATATGAAGAAGAATGTGGCCTCATGATTGGAGGAAGACTTGTCAACAGCTTGCATTAAGCAGATGACACAGCCTTGCTTGCTGAAAATAAAAAGGACTTGAAACACTTCCAGCAGAAGATAAAAGACGATAGCCTTCCAAATGGATTAGCCTAATAGGCAACATTATGATAGATGAAGAAAATATTGAAATTGTCAATTATTTATTTTTATGTGAACCTAAAATTAGCACTGATGGTAGCAGCAGTCAAGCACTCAAAAGATGTGCTACATTGGAAAAACCTAGTGTCAAGGCCCTCTTCAAGGTTCAAAGGAGCAAGGACATCAGTTTAAAGCTAAGGTGCCCCTGATCCAGGTCATGGCTTTTCCCTTTGCTTCCTATGCGTCTGAAAGTGAGACAGTGAATGAGGATGACAGAAAAGTAGATGCCTTTGAAATGGGGTGTTGGCAAAAATATTGTGTATGCTAGGGACTGCAAGGGTGCTCTGGTGGCCTAGGGGTAAGGAGCTGCACTGCAATTCTAAAGACCTGAGGTTTGAATCCACTAGCTGCTCTTGGGAGAATGATAACCTCCTCTTGGGCGATTTATAGCCTCTGAAAATGGGCTGGAGGGTTGGCTATGGCTCAGTAATGATTCAGTGGCACACAGCAACAACAATGAACTTCCAAAAAGCCCCAGCCCAGTCTGTGTTCAAGGAAGTGCAACAAGCGTGTGCCTTGGAGGCGAGGATGGTGAAACCTCCACTACTGTGGGTGTGTTTTCAGGAGGAACCAAGCGCCTTGTAACAGGACCTCATGTAAGAAAAGGTAGAGAGAGGGTCAGCAAAAGAAAGGAAGAGCCTGAAGAGGGAAATGAACATAGTGACCATCACAGAGGGCTTGAGCGTGACAGAGCTTACGAGGCCGTCACAATAGATCCCAGTGCCGGTCTGTTGTTCAGAGCATCACTATGAGTTGTAGTCAGCTCGACAGCATGTAACAACAACAGCACCAACATGTAAGGGACAAATTAAGGTTAAGATAATTAGTGTTCACAATGCTGTCCACATAGACACTTGTAGTTTTTATCAAGTGTATGTAAAATGAGATTAAATATCAAAAGAAGTACATATGCAATGTACAAATAGATATTATTCTAAAACAGCCATTTCCAGTTAATTTAACATGGAATTATTATTATTATTATTAATTTGAATTAACATTTACAGAGATTTTGAATTTCCATTCATTCATTGTGGCACTTTTCTCTCCGCCCACCCTCCCACCCGCAGTTCGCTCTTCTCTTTGAAAAGTAAAAGAAAAATTCCTTCATTGCTATACAATCCCCCTGCACTCTGCGCCTCGTATACTCCACTCTGCAACCTTCATTCCATACTCTTATGATAATCATAATGCCCTATAATGTATTGCTTTTAAAGTTTAACATGGAATTTTAAATTCAGCTTGGTAGTTTTTTGTATACAAAAACAAAAATTAATTCTGTGAATTCATTATCTGCAAAGAAGACTTAAAGTCACTTTGAAGAAATCAAATCCTGTATTACATACTGGGGCTTTTTTCTCCACTCACTTTTACAGGATGATCCTGCAATTAACCTTATAAAGTCAGGGAGGAGATATTGTCAAGTGACTTCCCTGTGAAATCAAATTTTAGTCAATCAAGCCAATATTAAACCCATTCACTAGATATAAAGGAGCTCTGGTGGCCTAATGGAAAGAAGCTGTGCTGCAATCCCAAAGGTTTGCAGTTCAAATCCACCAGTATAAAAAAAAGTCGAAAACATTTGGTTTATTCATTTACTTAGCATAAAATTTAGCTATTTTCTTAGAGCTTAATCAGCATCTCTTCTTTCACCTGTGAAAATATAGTCTACATTCTTGTAAAAAAAAAATCACAAAACTAAGACCATAGTACTAGACAGAATGTGTCTCACCTCATTTTCTCTTCTGCTTTTCCTCCTTAATCTTGTACTTTATTTTGTTATCATGCTTTCCTTTGCCATATCCAGTGACTTCTGTGCTGAAAAGGCAAATAGATGTTGAATATGTTACAAAGTTTTATTGAGCAATAAACAAAATTATGCAACAAGCCTGATGAAGAAAGGACAGACAAAAGCAAAGAATGTTTGTAGAATGAAAATTTAGTAGGAGGTATAAATGTTAATATGATTTGTTAGCTAAACAAAGGATTAGGGTTTGTTTAATCCACCTTTATAACTTTTAGAGGCTTCACTTGAATCATGCCAATCTGAAGCCATCACCAAAAACCAGGTATAGGTATTTCACTGGTCATAAGGAACAGAGTGCCTGTGGCTAGACACTGTACATCAGTTGAGCGGTAAAATCCCATTCCCAAATCAAAGCCTGAAGGTACTAGTTAACCCAAGCCACAGAGTTCTGCCCTTTCTCAAATAAGCTTCAAGAAAGTGCTCAGATGTTTTAATAGAAAAAAACCCCAAAAACCTATGCAATATAGATTTATTTGTTTCTTAGATAAAAGACTTGTTTATTTTTCACAATGTTTCACCTTTCCCCTCTCTTCCAGCTGCATCAGTTCTTTCTCGATAGTGTTGGAAATTTTGTGGAAAATGACACTCAAATTTCTACTTTTAAATTGTTGATTGGGTGCCATCAGTGTTTTTAAAACTAAAGAACTAATGTTTCTTCTTTACTCATTTTGTTTTAAATACTTACTGAAAGGAAGAAAATAACTTTTTTATTCTGGTATTAACAATCACACATCTAGCTTTTATTGTTTAAATAATTTAGAAAATTTTTTCTTATGTAAAAAGCATCTTTATAAACAGTAGTGCCTTTCAATCTCTGCCATTTTTAATGAATACCTAAACTCTTGGGGTATTACATGACCTGACATGTCAGGCTGCTGTAAAAGGTTAGGAGTTAGAATCCACTAGCTGTTCTACAGGACAAAGATGAGCCGCCTTTTCCCGTGAAGATGGCCTGAGGAGTCAGAAGTGATTCTTTAAAAAAAAAAAAGAATTGATTATACAGCAGTTAGTGGGTTTTTGAGCTAATATAATATCCACTATTAAAAAAAAACTTCATTGTATCTGAACTTTCGAACAGAAATTTTTTCATTTAGAAGCCTGATTTTTTCCCAATATGTTATCATTTCTTTCCAGATTATTCCAATGGTACAAGAATTTATAACCAAGAAACTTGGACGCTTGTTCATTGAACCACCCCCCTTTGACTTATCCAAGGCATTTGGGGACAGTAACTGTTGTGCACCACTCATTTTTGTGCTCTCTCCTGGAGCCGATCCCATGGCTGCCCTTCTAAAATTCGCTGATGACCAGGTACCTCAAAACAGATGTTATCATAGGATATACAGGGAATTCTGGTGGTGTAGTCTGTAGTTTTCGATCACTTGTTGTGCATCTGAGAGCTGGACAGTGAATGAGGATGACAAGAACAATTGATGCCTTTGTTGGAAAAGAGCACTGAACATCCCATGCCTGGCCAAAAGAACAAACAAATATACCTTGGAGAGGGTGCAGCCAGAGTGCTCTTTGGAGGCAAAGATGATGAGGCTTCACTTCTTGTACTTCAAACATGTGGCTAGGAGGGGCTGTTCCTTGGATAAGGACATGACACTTGGAAGGGTGGAGGGTCAGCAAAGGAAAGGAAGACCGTCAACCAGGTGGATTGACATGGTGACGGCCACAGTGGGCTCTAGTGTGTTAGGAAATGTGTAGATGACACAGGGTAAGACGGGTTCAGATGCGTTGTTCCTAGGGTCGCTATGAGTTGTATTCAACTTGATGACACCTAACAACAAGTCTGAAGGAAGCTGTACTGCTAACCCAAGGGTCTTGCTGAGCCTTCTGGCAGTTCAAATCCACCAGTGGTTCCAGAATTCACAACCTCAGAAATCCAATGAAAGGTGAGCTATGAGTCATTTCCAATCTGATGGCCATGAGTCAGTGAGTAAAATATGTGTGTGTGGGGGGGGGAAGTGTCTAGGTCAACTTCCATTGGTTTCCAAGGCTGTAAGTCTTAAAAGGGGCAGACGGCTTCATCTTTATCTTTCTCCCTTGGAGTCACTGGTGGATTTGAACTACTGATTATGTGGTTAGCAGTCCATTCCATAAACAACCCACTCTGACTGCCAAAGAACTAACAAGTCTGTCTTGGAGAGGCTAAGGATGATGAAGCTTGCTCACTCATGCTTTGAGCATGTTGTCAGGAGGGGCTGAACATTATGGTAGGAAAGGTGGGAGGTCAGAAACAGAGAAGAAAATGACTTTTGACTTACCACTTACTGTGATAATGATAGTAATATTTCTAAGACCACGACCATAATTAAGAATGCTAGGAATGTTTTAATGTTTTCTAATCTCCATTGTCCAAAAACCTTTGCAGTTTTACATTCATAGCCATGAATGTATGTCATACATAAATTAACATGTGTTTTTATCTAACTATAGGATTCTTAAGTTTTATAAGAATTCATTTTATGTCTCTATATCACAACCAACTGATCATGAGAATGGCACAAGCTGGGGCAAGTTTTCCCTTTGTTGTTCATAGGGTGGCTCTGTGTCATAGTCAACACAACAGTGCCTAACAACTTTAGCAACACCGTCATGCTTAGATCTTTGCAGGATGCTGGATTGTTGTATTTTCATATACTTGAGGCTCCTATTTGTCTGTAATAATATTTTTTTTACTCTTGTAAAATGTGATTTTAATAACATCTTACTATTTTTGTACACAGGGCTATGGAGGAACAAAACTTAGCTCTCTGTCCCTTGGTCAAGGCCAAGGACCCATAGCAATGAAGATGTTAGAAAAAGGTATTAAGGAAGGAACATGGGTTGTTCTTCAGAATTGCCACCTTGCCACCTCTTGGATGCCAACCCTCGAGAAAGTTTGTGAGGTAACGTTTCAAGTTTATTTGTGATAAGTTGTTTCGTCAGAACATAATTATTGATATATATTCCATCTGAAAAAAACTCCCTTTCTTCCCTCTCATTAGGAGGGTTGTAGATCACTAGTGTTGGTAGATTGCAGGTGACATAGATTCATTATAAGAGATGTATCTGGAGCAAAAGAGGTACATGGCCACACCTTGCTGATGGCTCCGTTAAGCTCCTGGCTCATCCAGAATAAGGGAAATATCGCTACGCCAGAGAAGCATGTCCAAATGTGAGTAAAGCACAAGGTAAACAAAAATCAGGTTTGACAATTAAGTTTACAAATGGCGAAGGAGGATGTTGGTGGTGAAATTCATTTGGCTGCTCTAAGCCACACGGTTTCTGGTAGACTTTTCCTCTGAATGGGCTTCTAACCCAGTTGGCCACTTGCCTTCCACTTCGCAGACCTTTCTGGTGTCACTATCGTCTCCTTGCTGTGGGTAACAGTTGCTGGGAGAAAACTCTATGTCACATACTTGAGTAAACAGAAACTAGATGCATGATTCCAATAAACATAAACAAACATGTCAGTGTGGGGATTACGATACCTCTAGCTGCCTGCTCACTTCTACCTCAGCCTCCCTCAGACTACCCAGGGGCCAAGGCAATGAGGTAACTTGTGCTGCCCCGCCATCCAACTGGATCTTTATACAGGGGATTTTATTTTTCTTTCTGCCACTCGTCACCACTTTGTCTTGTATTCATAAGTGTTGTAAAAACAGTATTTTTCTGTTTTATTTTCTGCCTTTATTTCCATCAGGGACTGTTAGTGGCATAGTCTGTAGAGAGTTGTGTTGCTAAGCCAAAGGTAGTGCCCTTGGCACAGTTCAGATCTACCTATGGCTCCGTGGGAGAAAGGACGCCACTTTCCTGTGAGATTTACAGCCTCCAAACACCTGCTGGAGGATCAGCTTATAAGTCAGTCCTACTCAGTGACAGTGCCTTTTATACCCATTACCTGGACCCTGGGAAGCAATAAAGAAATATTTATTGAATTAGCAAATGAATAGCATTTCACTGCTAAAAACCTTTTCATGGCTTTCCATTGCATCCAAGATAAATTCCAAACACTTAATATGTCTTGAACTCTGAAGATGTGTACTCTCTACTGTGTCAGATTGTTATTGTTATGTGCCGTAAAGTCGCTTGCAACTCATAGTGACCCTATGTACAACAGCCCTAAACTCTGCTTTGTCCTATGCCAATCGCACTGCCTGTGACATACCCATCCCGAGTACCCCAGTCACTGAATCAATCCACCTCATAGAGGGCTTTCCCCTCCAGCGCTGTCCATCCACCCTCCCAGGCATGATGTCCCTGTCCAAGGACCAGTCCCTCCTTACAACATGTCCAAAGTATGTCAGACGAAGCCCCAGAACCCTTGCCTCCAAGGAGCAGCCTGCTTTAACCCTCTCTAGGATGAATCTGTTTGTTTTCTTGGCAGTCCATGGTACATTCAACACTCTTCTCCAGCACCACAGCTCAAAGGCATCAATTCTCCTTCTAGCCTCCCTAATCATTGTCCAACTCTCTGATGCATAACAAGTGATTGCAAAGACCATAGCCTGTACCAGATGCACCTTAGTCTCCAGAGTGACACCATTGCTCTTCAGTACCCTAGAGAAGTCCCTAATAGCAAACTTTCCCATTGCAATACGTCTTTTAATTTCCTGGCTGCTGGTGCCAAGAGTGTTGATTATGGAGCCAGGCAGACTAAAGTTGTTAACAATCTCAATATCTTCACCATCCATCCTGATGCTACTGATTGGTCCAGTGGTGATAATCTTTGTCTTCTTGATATTGCCCCTCAATCTATATTGAAGGCTGTAGTCCTTGACCCTCTGCAGCAAGCATTTCAGGTCCTCCTCAGTTTCAGCAAACAGGGTTGTGTCATCTGCATAATGCAGATTGTTGATAGATCTTCCAATGATCCTGATGCCACACTTCTCCTCATAGAGCCCAGCCTCTCAGATAATCTGCTCTGCATACAGGTTGAAAGGGTATGGAGATAGGACACATCCCTGGCATACACCCTTTTTTGAACCAATCAGTGTTTCCTTGCTCTGTTCTGATGACTGCCTTTTGGTCTAAGTATAGGTTTTGCATTAGCACGATCAAGTTGTCTGGGATTCCCATTTTTCTCAGAGTCAGCCACAGTTTGTTATGATCCACACAGTCAAATGCCTTTGCATAGTCAATGAAACACAGATATACATTCCTCTGGTATCCCCTGCTTTCAGCCAAGATCCATCTAACATTAACTACAATATCCCTAGTACCATGACCCCTTCTAAACCCAGCCTGGACTTCTGGCAGTTCTCTGCTGATGTGCTGTTCCAGTCGTTTTTGGATAATCTTCAGTAGAATCTTGCTTGCATGTGAAATCAGTGATATTGTTCTGTAGTTTAATCAAAATATTGGGGATTCTTAACACCAGTTGCTCCTTGGAACCAAGGTGTGTTATTTCCTCCAGTAAAGGATTACAACCTTGTAATCCCAATCACGAGTTGCTATGTGTAAGACTCCACTGAAGGCAGTGGGCTTGGTTTGGGGGTTTAGCATGGCTTGCAGCACCACTGTCATGGCCTGAACCCTCAGGTTTTGTCTCTGGCCATGTGCTAGCTTGACTCCTAGACTGTGTTCGTTTGAGCTGCCTTCATTTCCGTTAGTGCAGCATGCTTTCTAATAATACTTGTTATTCTGCTTGGAAAGCTGTGTCTTCATTTATTCGCTAACCAGCACATACTCATCCTTCAAGTTTCATATCAATTTTATATTTGTACCTATGGTTCCTCTAAATCCAGCCCATTCCAATAGTCTGTTGAACTCTCTCGTATATTGCCTTTATGGATTCGTATAAAAGGGAAGAACTGTCCCTAATGGATGATGAGCCTGGCTCAAAGTCCCGTTGGTCATGTTGCTTAACTCTCTAGATATAGAGAAGTGGGAAAAAACGGTGCCTTAACTCCCTATTGTTGCTGCTGCTGCTGTTGTTGTATACCGTAGAGTCGGGTGGGGGTGGTCGGAGCTCACCTGTAGCTGACCCTCCAGTGGGTTTTCAGAGGGAGTTAATTGCACAGGAGGAGACTGCCCATCCTTCTACTGTGGAACAGCTGGTGGCCTTGAACCATGTGCCTTCAGAACGGCAGTGCAGCTTCTTGCTACTAGGCCACCAGAGCTCCCTGAACTCCCTGTTACTGTTATTAAAAATGTTGGCACCTATATAGCCTTGCTCTTTCATCCTTACCCTGTTGCTGTAAATGTACAAACAAGCATCTTGCGGATAAGATTTGAGATTTTTAACAGTAGATACTGCTGCCATGGCTGATTTGGGGAGGTAAAAATAGGAAATCAGACTAGATTGGCAGACAGTGAAGGGCACATGCAAGTTATTCCCACCTTCTATGTAACCTTTACAACAATGCTATTATCCTTTGTAGTTCAGGCTTGACTATTACCATAAAATCATAAAATTCATGGCAAGGAAGTTCATTCTTGTCCCCATGCTTTCTTCCTGTTAGCCTGATTCCAAGCTTTTTTGGGGCTTTATTCACCCTTTTGTATGTGATTTCTTTTCTTGCAGGAGCTCAGCCCAGAAACCACACATCCAGACTTCCGCATTTGGCTGACAAGTTACCCATCTCCAAACTTCCCTGTGTCTGTACTGCAGAACGGAGTGAAAATGACCAATGAAGCACCGAAAGGCTTGCGGGCTAACATCATTCGGTCGTACCTTATGGACCCAATCTCTGACCCCGAGTTCTTTGGCAGCTGCAAAAAGCCTGTTAGTAATGGATAAGTCTTGTTACCTCAGCCCTGGGAAGCTATCAAGTGGCCCCTGGTGATCACGGATGTGTGTGCTGAGTAAAACTACAAATTAAATAGGTCTCCTGCACAGCAATGCAGTTGGTTTTGATTACTGATTATTGACTGTGGGGGGAAGTCAATTTTATTAATATTTTATTTTAATTTTACCACCAGCCTCATTCCTGCTCAGCTGAGATCTTGTGGTGTATTATTAATAATGCAGCTTTCTATTTAGAAAGTCAGCTGTAAGCCATTCCCAGTACAAATCTGCAAGCTTGGAGAATCTTGTTTCAGTATATTAGCTGAGCCCTCTGCTATTTGGAGGCATATCTCTAAATTGAAACATAAAAATATTTCCTCCATCTAACTATAATGAGAGCCAAGATGATTTTACTCCTTGATTGATGGGACTCATATGAGTCCTTTTTAGCATCACTGGGCAAGCAGGGATACCTCCCACTGCTTTCATGATTAGAATTCTGCATGTGAATGTCTGTGACTTGAAATTGTTTCAGTGTTTTGCCATAATTAAAAATGGAAGGGTTCTTTTTAAGAGGGGTCATGAACCTTGATATGATTTTGCCATTAAAAAGCTCACACTCTTAATGTCTGAATATGTTTTAAGTACATTACATTATCAAAAGAAAACATTAAAAATAAAGTACTTCTATGACACAAAAGTGTTGGGTACTTAAACCAAACAAAAACCTATATTTAAAAATGAGTCAAACCTTACTTTAAACTTCTAAGTCTTGCCCTATGACTAGCTTTTGCATTGATTTGGTTCAGAAAGAGCAGGTTACCTGTAGGTAGGCGGCAAGGGCATTTCTGTACATGACGGGCTGCATAGAATCCTTTGCAAAATTTTACTAAGTCGTCCTTTTTTCTAGATCAAAAGGTCTCTCTCGCCAAATTCACAGTTGTTACAGGTCCAAGCATTTATAAACTCACAGTTGAAGGCAGAACTAAAATCTCTTCAAATGCTAAATCAGTACAACATATTTTTTTCTGTTTTAATATTTGATTTGAAAATCATTTTAGAACTTACAAAAAGTTAAAAGTATAAAAATAGTATAAAGAGCTCCCTTTACCCATATTCACCTGCAGTTATAATATCGCATGGCTTGTGCTCTTTCTCTGTATACACACATGCACTTGTAAATTGCAGATAAATACATTGCTGATACATTATGACTTCATGTCCTCGAATACTACAGTTTCTATTTCCCAAGCATAAGAATATTATCCTGTTTAGTCACAATGTAGTTACCAGTTTTAGTAAATTGAAAAAGGATCCAATATTATTTATATTCTGCCTTTGGTGTTCCAGTTTTGCCATCAAGTTAATGAAGTTCTCTAGAGTATGTGCCCTCCTTTACAGGAGACAGCCTATGGTTGGGCATTATGTAATTTCCCCTGTCTGGGTTCTTTAATCTGGAACATTTCCCAAGCAATTATCTTCTTTTTATGACATCTCCATTTTTCAAGAATTGAATTCTTTTTCAAGAATTTTTAAGAGTTAAATCCTGCTCCAGTTTATTTTTAAATAGTGTTTCTCATTTTGGGTTTCTTTATGTTCTCCTAATGATTAGAATTCCATTTATAATTTCTTAGCTAGAAATTGTTGTGATTGGTGATGTCTCACCTGGTGGCATAGGATGTCCATTTGTTCCTTATTGGTAATAGTAATTTTGATCATTGAGACAAAGGCATTACCTAAGTTCTCTAATGTATAAGAACTATTCTCTCCTTCTGTCTGCAATTAATCATCAGCCTATGAAGAAACATTATAGGAAAATGCAAATATCCTGTTTCTCATAAAAATCTACTTACTATCCAAACTTAATACTCAATAGTGATCCTTGCCTGTTCAAATGATTGCCTCTGATGACTGTGAAATGATTGCATGCATGCTGTATTTCCCTAGTGCTGATACTCTTATTGTGTATTAAGAATTATTCTATTTTGTGATCCTTCATTTTCTGACTTAGGTGAGTAAGATTCATCTTGTCCCTATCTTAATTAAAATCTGGAATTAGCCATTTTTTGAGGTCCTCTGGCTCTTTCTAGTGAAGCATGTATTAGAGAACAAATTCTAGTTGATAGATGTACTTATCTTTATTGGAATAGCTATGGTTCTTGGCTTTTTAAAATAGAAAAAGTAGCAATTATATACACACACGTACACATACATTTTACATATATATTTACAAACACATATACATGGGCATATATACACACACACAAATATACACAGATACACAAATATACACACACACAAATAGACACTCACACATAGTTTAGAAACCATGGTTTCATACTGCTTGTCTTCAGTTTCAATTCACCAACCCCAAGTTCTTATTTCTTTATGTGTCTCTTCTTCTATAGCGAGCTCTGGTGGCATAGTTCCTAGGGCGTTAGCTTGCTAAACCAGAGGTCTCACCTCTCTGAGGGTTTGAATCCACACTCCTTCCATGCAATTTATAGTCTCAGAAATGCACTGGCGATATAGTCTCAGAAATGCACTGGCGAGTCAGCTATGTGGCAGTTCCAAAGTGACAGCAGTGAACTCAAAGGAGAGTTCTTCCATGAGAAACCTGGCTCCCTACAGCATCAACACATTTACTGACCTGCTCAGTGCGCTAATGTATTCAGAGTAGTGCAAAAATTAACAGGGGTGCTTTTTTTGTGTGTTTTGTTTTGTTTTGTTTTTTTACAGTTTTTGCCACATCTATATGTGCCACATTTGTCTCTTTCTATGTCTTTAATATTTATTCCTTGGAAGAGATTTTTCTTCTATCTGTAGATAAAATTTTAAGCAACTTGATGTTTTTTCTGATGACTCTCAAGTAACATTAAGTTCCATAGTCACTTGCACTTGCACCTAGCCTTATATCCTAAAACCCTGGTGAATACAGTTGCTTGTATATACAAAAAGGCATATTTTGCCTGAATAGTGTGTAGTAACAGCCTTAACTCTATTTTAGTTATATTTTTGGGCAGATGAATCCTGATGCTTTTTATAAATAAAATGAATTAATTAGTTACATTTTGAGATATGGTTAATGCAAAGTAAGGTTGGGGAAAATCATAACCAAGGACTATTTCTAATCATTACAGGAGGAATTCAAGAAATTGCTCTATGGTCTCTGCTTTTTTCATGCCTTGGTGCAAGAGAGACGGAAATTTGGACCTCTTGGCTGGAATATTCCTTATGAGTTCAATGAGACAGACCTGAGAATCAGTGTCCAGCAGCTTCACATGTTCCTGAACCAGTATGAGGTATTGTAAAAATCTCAGCAAAGACATAACCTGTTTTGCTTTTTATCATGTTTCTACAACAACAGGGACTTCTGACTAACGTCCCAACAGTAGCATTTAAGTAGTATTTTATTGTAGTAGGATAATAGAACCATTACAGTAGGTAGAACATCAGTCTCTCTATTAGGAACCTATGTTTTGTCATTTGTTTTGACATGTAAATACCCAGGGAATCTGAAAAGTGGTCGTATTATACTTCTTTTTCAAAGGACTTGAGAAGACTGTAAATCAACCAGGCTCCAAAATGAAAAAAGAAGAGGAGGAACAAAGATTTTAAGGAAAAAAAAAAAACCAAAACCCCAAACAAAACAAATTAAACACATTTTCTTCCGTTTAGGAACACAACTTTATTTTTACAGCAATGGCATTATACTATTGTTAGGGAGTTTTGGGCCATTTGACAAGAGAAAGCAGATGATTTAAGTGATTGGTGTTGATCTGAAGTACAGATTCTGGGAAGCAGGCCAACAATCTAATGTCACGTCAACCCCATTTCATCCTTTACTGTTCACACATGCACCTATAATTACTTTTATTCCTTGAAATAGTGTATTTTTCTTTGATGTTTCTCTCCTTTGTCTTATATAAAAGAGTAGTTTTAAAAACTTAAGTTAAAGAATTGGCTAAACTAAATTCTTTTTTTATGTATAACCTCTATTCTCTTGCCAGAGTTCTTTATTGATGAAAGCCTGGTCATAATATGCTCCTGCTTAATATTAAGATGAAATACTCTTTACCTGTAAGATTAACAGATTACATAATGACACTAATAAATATTCTACCCAGTACTGACATTGGATGAGATAAAAGTAGCATCCCTATATTTTTAGTGAGTTAGAGAATTGGCAGTGTATTGGCTGTAAAATTGTTCACACTGATAGCATAACTCTCCAACAATAAGGGAATGGCCTAGTGAATCACAGTTAACCACAGGAATAATTGAATATCATACAGCCACCCTAATGATATTTATAAAGAAATTCTAGTGCTATAGAAAAATTACCAATAATCCTATGTAAACTGGGAAAAATGCTATAAAATTTCATGTACAGTATGACTTTAATTAGATATTTATAGACATATTTGTATAGAACTCTAAAACAAGCTAATTTATTGGAGTAACTTTATTTCTAAGGGATAAATTTATCAAGGACTCTTAATGTCTTTGAAAAAGCTATTATCTAATATTTATGGTCAGGAAAGTAGTTGTGAAATATATCTCCATTACAATATCCATGTTAGAAGGAACTTCCCGTTTCTACCAAGACATGGCTTCTCATGCCAGGCACCTTCACTCCCTCCTAGTGCCCTCAGTTTCCCACCCAAGACCCCCACAGTGGACACACTGTAGCCACCCGCCCACTAACCTTCCCTTTCCTCCTCCTCTCTCCCTTTATCTTCTTTTCATGAGAACTTTTATAATCCCCCCTCCCTTAGAAACAAACTCTGTTGGTCTCAGAAGTTCATCCTCTAAGAAGCCTCCCTTTCTGCTCTTCTAGATCTTGCCTCAGTGTGACTAGAAGGCCTCACTCTGTATACTCAGAATATATTTTGACGATAATACTTCTCAGTATTAACTCTCTACTTATCTGATCCCAGGCCCTCGTCAGATTTTGAGCAATCTGAGAGCAGACACTGGCTATTTAAGTAGCTTCATCTGTTTTCTACAACTCCTAGAGCAATTAAATTTTGGGTTATACTTTTGTGACCTAAATAAAAATATTATACCCCTTTCCAATACACATATAATCAAAATCAAGAGCTTGGTAACATATTAGGAAGTATAGGTTGGTGATTCACTACTGTAATCACTGACTTGCTGTTTTTTAGATGACTGAACAGGTGAACTATCATTCAATTCCTCTATGAGGTGGATTGATTCAGTGACTGGGGTGGTCAGGATGAGTGTATCAGAGACAGTGCGATTGGCACAGGACAGAGCAGAGTTTAGGGCTGTTGTACATAGGGTCGCTATGAGTCACAAGCGACTCAACAGCACATAACAACAATAACAACATCATCTATAAAAGGAAAATTGCTTATTTGATATGAATTGACAGAAATTAAAGCTTCTAACTGAAGTTACTAATATATTCCCCTCCCCCCCCATCATTTGGCTTACTTACAATTGCAGTTCATTTCACAACCTTACTTAAGTGACTCCTGTGGGCAGGAAAGGAGTCTTTGATAGGAATAATTAGCTAAATTATTAGCTACTAACCAAGAGTTTTATGGGTCAGAGTCACTCAGAACCATCTCTGAAAAACAAAACCAAAAAATCCCCACCAGTATCTGGCAGTCTGCTTCACGGCGGTCATAGCCATGAAAACTACAGAGTGCAATTCTACTCACAAAGAAACACAGAGGTCATCATGAATAGGAATCCACTGCAATGCAACTGGTGATGGAAAAGAACAAGAATTTATTGGGTTCTGTATTCAAGATATTGAGTTCAATCTGGATAGAAACCAAACAGATGGCATATGTTGTTGCTAATTGGTTTCTGTATTCAAGATGTTCAGAGTTCAGTCTGGATAGAAACCAAACAAATGGCATATATTGTTGCTCTTAGATGCCGTCAAGTCAAATATGAGTAAGAGTGGCCCTATGAACAACAGATCTGAACTCTGTCCTAGCCCGTAACATCCTCATCATTTCTGACACACTTGAGCCCACTGCTGCAGCCACTGTGTTCTTCCATCTTGTGAAGGGTCTTCATCTCTTTCCCTGATCTTCCACCTTTACAAGCAAGATGCCCCTCTCCAAGAAGTAACCTTTCCTAACAACATGCCCTAAGTATGTGAGATGAAGCTTCACCATCTTTGCCTCCAATGAGCACTCTGGAGCACACTTTCTCCAAGATATATCTGTTCTTTGACAGTCCCCGCAATATTCAGGACTTTTCCCTAACACTGTAACTCAAAGGCATCAATTTTTCTGCCATTCTTATTCATTGTCCATCTTCCAGATGTGTAGCCAGTGATAGAAAAGACCATGACCTGAACCAAGCGTGCTTTGGTCCTCAAACTACTGTCATTGCTCCTCAGTAAATTGGAGAGATCCTTGGAAGGAGACTTTCCCAATGTGCTCTATTACCTTATCTCTTGACTGCTGATACCAAGGATATTGATTATGGATCCAAGTACAATGAAATAATTGATCATTTTAATCATTTCTTCATCTATCATGATGTTAGCGAGTTCTAGTGGCCTAATGATAAGAAACTGCTGTAATCCCAAAGGCACACAGTTTGAATCCATGAGCTGCTCATGGGAGAAGGGTGGGCAATATTAAACTGCCTCTAAAAGCCCAGTGGAGGATCAGCTATGAGTTGGTTCCCACTTGACAGCACACAATGACAACAGTCGTAATGTTACCTATTGGCCTAGTGGTGAGTATTTTTGCTTTCTTGATGTTGAGATGTATTCCATATTGAAGGCTGTAGTTTTTTTTCTCTTCTGCAGCAAGCCACCCGCTTTGACTATTAAATGACTATTTGTCCTTTGGATGTAGTATTCATGTAACAAGCTTGATAAAACTAAGATTCCTAAAAAAACCCCTAAGATTCCTCAGTCAAATGTAATTCATCAAGAGTTAGAGATTCTTTAAAGAATGTGAATTCACAGTTTCTGTTCATATTATGTCTAATACAGTTCTCTTTCAACTGTCAACATTTTTTTTCTTAAAGTGATCCAATGTCTCAACAAAAAGAAAGCAATCAGAATTAAGCTGTGTAATTCATGCAAACGCACAGGTAGTCTAGACTAAAAACCACTATAGCCAATGAGAGAACAAATAAAATAAAGAGACTCAAAGGAGTTGTTTCTGTTGTTACATGCCATCAAGTACGAGTCGTAGCAACCCTGTGAACCACCAAGCTGAACCTGACCTCTCCTGAAACTCTCAAGACCATTGCTGAAGTCATTGTGTCAATCCATCTCGTTAGAGGCTCCTTCTTCACTGACCTCTTTCTTTCCAAGCATGCTGTCCCTCTACAGTGAATGGCCTCACTTAGCTACATATCTAAAGAACAGAAGATGAAGCTTTGCAATCTTTGCCTTTAAGAGCACTCTTCCTGTACCTCTCCAAGACATATCTGTTTGTTCTCTTGAAAGTCAGTGGTATATTTATTTAGTACTCTTCTCCAGCACCACAACTAAAGGCATCAATTTTTCTGTCACCCTTATTCATTGTGTAGCTCTTCATTGTCTAGAAGGTGATTGAGAAAACCATGACCTTTGTGTAGCTCTTCATTGTCTAGAAGGTGATTGAGAAAACCATGGCCTGAATTAGGTCCACCTAAGTCTTCAAACTAACATCATTGCTCTTCAATACTCTAGAGAGGTCCCTGACAATGGACTTGCCCAGTGCAATATGTCTCCTGATTTCCTGACTGCTGCCATCAAGGGTGCTGATTGTCGATTCAAAGAAGATGAAATCATGGAGAGCTTCAATCCTTTCTCTAGCTATCTCAAAGGAGTTGTGGTGGACTAATTAATCTCCACTCTGGAATAAGAATGAATTTATAGTTAAACCAGAAGTTCATATCCCTAAGAGATCATAACTTGTACAAGATATACTTCTGGCTCCATAGTAGGTCCAGGAAGTCTGCTATGACCACAACATCAAATTTATAGGTTCTAAATTCGGGAATTATGGTGGCCTATTGGTAAGAAGAAGCTGCCCAGCAATCCCAAAAGTATGCAGATAGAATCCACAGGAGAATGGGCAGTCTCCTCCCGTGCAAATCACTACCTCTGAGTTATGCGTCTATGAGCTATGGGTCTAAGAGCCATGACCAGTGAGTCAGTTCCAACTTGATAGCACACAACAATAACAACAACAATTCTAATTTACTGAAGCTAGAAGTTAAATGGGCAGAATGAGAGATTTTAGGACTATTTGTTTCATGTCTAGAAAATTAAGCCTTGATAAATTTCCCCTGTAACATTGTTATAGTTGTTAAATGCCATCAAGTCAACTGTGGCTCACAATGACCCTATGAACAGATGTCCTGTGTCTATTAACTGTCCTGTCCATTGCCATCTACACCATGGCACATGATACATTTGAGCCCATTGTTGCAGTCACTGTGTCAGTATATCTCATGGGGGCTGGGTGTCTTCCTTTCTTGCATTAACCCTTGACTTTTCCAAGCATGGTGTTGCTTTCTGAGGAATAGCCTCTACTGGCAACCTGGTCAGAGTATAAGACAAAGCTTTGCCATCCTTGCCTCCAAAGAATGCTCTGGCTGGGCTCAGGTATATCAGGCGTGGTGAGCATGGCACATAATAGGGCAAGATCCAGAGCCAATGTTCACAGGATGGCTGTGAGTCGTAATTGATGTCACCTAACAACAACAGCACATTTCCTGAACCAAGAAGGAATGAAAAAGCAGGTCAGTACTCAGTTATTTCTTATTCCTCCTCTACCCCATCCAATTTTCTACCTTTCCCTGCTGTTCCTTAGAATGGTCCCATAGTCTACTTGCTCTTTTTTCCAATGTAATATGTGTTTTCACATCACTGGACTTTGTAAAGTTTCGTTCTATTTTCTGCTGTTTTCCCTTGCTCAGTCCTTGTCTACTTTTGAAATTATTCCTAATCTCATATTCTGGAGTCAAGTCTATCTCCTCTTGACACTTCTACATGCCACTTTGCCTGAAAACCACCATATTCCCTCTTGTGTTGAGATTCTTATTGTGGGTAAACACCTACGTGAGCCAGGGATGACTGCAATTTTCAGTCTTTTTTGCCCATAAGCTTTGTGATCTTTGTGGTCTAAAAACTATTCTGGCATATATGCCAGGCACCATTAGTTCCCAGGCCCCACCTTGCTTCAGCAGGCCAGCAGAGCTGGTGCTACACATAGGCACGTGGGAGGGAGGAGAACTGCAAACATTTGCCCTGTAAGAGAAGGCATATTGTCTGATCATTTGTTTGCTCTTGGATCCCCAGTGCTGAAACCATTTTTATAGTAAATGACTCACTCGGTGTTTATTTGATGAATATATGACCACCTGTCACGTAGGGGGTTCACTGTGACTTCTTTTCCTCTAATGCTTTTATTTCTAGGAAAGTCATTCCTTCAAGTGGGATCCATGAAATGTAGGCTGTGTATATACTTTTAGTTTTAATAAATAACTACAAGAATGGCTTGCAGAGCCAAAGAGGAAGAAAAAGGTCTAATGTGACAAATTTCTATGTTTGAGTAAAAAATATTTTCGACAAATACGAACAACTAAAAAGCATAAAAAGAAAAGGAACGTGAGAAATTGGAGAATGTCCTTACAATGTAAAGGGCAAAGTGCATCCGTTTCTTTATAATGAGTCTCTTCTCATAATAAGAATAGATAATTCTTCAAATTAGAAAAGTTAAGAGTGAATAATTAATGAAAAACAAATGACCAGTAAACATTTTGAATGTCAACATAACAAATAAAGAACAATCATTAAAATATTAACAGTACTTCAACCATTAACTGTCATTTTTTTTAAAAAAATGATCATGCTTAGTTTTGGGGAGAACACTAACAAATGAAATCCTCATATGTGGCTAGTGGGCGCAAATGTGTGCATAGGATAAAAGAATTGAAATATGAAAAAATTACTTATTCTAAACATCTCAAAATGCTAACACCAAAGAGTATAATTTATAAAGGGAAAATTCAAGTTCATAGGAAAAGATATTACTACAGGTTTCATAAATGAAGGACAGTTTATATGTCAGTATACTATAACACACACTTTCCCCTTCATTTTAATAGAAAAGAATGGTAAAAGTCTAGTTCACAGAAAATTATAAAAAATTTTTATTAAACATATGAAAACATTATGATCTCAATAGTCTTCTAGAGAATGCAAATTAAAACTCTATATCCAAGTCTTTCCTTGGAGGGTAGGATTTTGAAGCTCTGTCTCACATATTTTGGGCATGTGGACAGGAGAGACCAGTCCTTGGAGAAGGGCATCATGCTTGAAAGGGTGGAAGGACGGCGCAGGATGAGACGGATTGATAAAGTAACTGGGGCGATGGGGGTTGGTGTGTTAGAATTAGTGAAACTGGCTCAGGACAGGGCAGAGTTCAGAGCTGCTGTACATAGGGTCGCTATGGGTCACAGGCGACTCAATGGCACATAACAACAACAACAACAACCCTATCAAATTAATAAATATTTTAAAACTTATTTCTACACTTTTAAGGGAGCTCTGGTGGCATAGTAGATAAGGAGTTATGCTGCCAACCTAAAGGCAGGCGGTTTGGATCCATCAGCAAGTTTTGTTAGTTTTTAAATTGTTTGTGAGGAGATTGTCCATATTCTCCCTCAGTTGCTGATGTATTTGAACCACTAAAGAACCACCAAAGCCACTCTGTCCCTGCTGGTGTGGTCAGTAGGCAGTTATGCTGATAACACAAGGTGGCTCGTCTATGCTGGTTCAAATCCACCAGCAGCACTCTGGGGGAGAAAAACAGGCAATCCCTTGTGGTGTGATTTCTAGCCTTCAAAAACTTCTGGAGCTTCAACTCTGGTTGGTTCCTACTCTGTTGCAATGAATGAACCCTTTAACATAGTAATTTTCTTTTTAGAAATTTAGACTAAAGCATTATATGCTCATTTAATGAAACAGTAACAGGAGAAAATTAGAAATGACTGAAACACTCAACATTAGAAGACAGTTATTAAAAGAGTGTTTTCAAATAATACAGAATTAAATGGTTAAAATATGCAATTTTATGAAAATGTAACACATTCAATGTTATTCCAGTTGTGTCAATATCTACAGATATTACTAATAGTACAGAAAATTAACATTGAATCGTTGTTGTTGTTGATTGCCATCAAGTAGAGCACGACTCATAGCGACCCTATGAACAAAAGACCTGAAGACTTTCTATAACGATCGTCGTTTCTCAAAGTTCATAGAGTTTCCAGAGGCATGTTGCTTAGGAAGTGGATGCCATTCCTGCTTCCAAACACTGAATTATGTTGGATTTGTTTGCATGTCACTCAGCAGTATAAGATTATAAAGAGTGATATTCCTCTGACCCTTTTGTGTCAGGCATGTAGTAGGAGCTCAGTAAATATTGATTGAATGGTAAATGAATTTACAAGTAAACACAGGGGCTCTCTTCTCCACTTTGATGAATGTAAATGAAAAACTGCAAAGAGAGAGCAAATCCATTGGGAAAATGTGCAACATTCCACAAGAGAGTATATAAAGGAGATTGTCGACATAAAATGATTTGTAAGATGTTTAATTTCATAATGTGAGTAAATAAGAAACATGTTGTGCATAATGTGCTACTGTCACTCTTCACCGGTTCGGTGACTGGAGTTCTCAATTGTAGGACCTGCCGTACGATGCTCTGCGGTACATGACAGGCGAGTGCAATTATGGAGGCAGGGTGACCGATGACTGGGACCGGCGCACGCTGCGCACCATCCTAAACAAGTTCTTCAGCACGGAATTAGTTCAAAATCCAGACTATAAGTTTGACTCAAGTGGCATCTATTTTGTCCCTCCTTCTGGTGATGTAAGTATGCCCTTCAGGAAAAAAAAAAAAAACCACAGTAAATATTTTCCTTGTTCTTTTTTGTCTGTGATTTTTCTAGTTTTACAGGAGCAGAGCAAATCCTATCCACAGATGGAATTAGTGTTATCATAATAAGAAGAGTACCAGAACTATTCCTTATCCAAAAATAACTTCCAAAATGACCCAAAATGTCATGTTCATTATTTCAGTGCTTTGGGTAAAAGGCACGGTCACCATTTAAAATGAAAACACACCTCATCAATTGAAAAATAATAACATTTAATATTTACATTGTTGTTGTTTGCTGTTATATACTGTCGAGTTGGAACTGACCCATAGCAGACCCTACAGCAGGTTTTCAGAGGCAGTTAATTGCAGGAGGAGATTGCCCATCCTTCTCCCATGTAGCAGCTGGTGGCCTCAAAATGCTTGTATTTAGAATTGCAGTTCAGCTTCTTGCCCCCAGTTGTTGTGTTGTTGTTATGTGCCGTCGAGTCGTTTCCGCCTCATAGCGACCCTATGCACAACAGCCCTAAACCCTGCTCTATCCTGCACCAACCGCACCGCCTCTGACACACCCATCCCGATTACCCCAGTCACCGAATCAATCCATCTCATAGAGGGTCTTCCCCTCC